CTAGCAGGACAAATGGGAAGTTTTGCTAAAGAGAAAACAATTTTAGGTTAAATGACCAATCCATAAAGCTACTGGACGATAGAATGAAGATGACGGAAAACATTCCATTTAAGGTACTAATTTGGTTCTTCAAGCATCATTTAAATTTAGTAATTTGTCAAATTTAATTGATGAAAATTTCTTTTGAATTTTTTTTTGTGATAGGAAGCAAATTTTGACTCCAATAAAAAAAAAGTGAAATTCTCTTGGCTTTAATAAGGTCAAAATTGCATCTTCCAGTGGAGCATATGAATCTATTTCAGCCCCAGAATTAGGCAATTCAACAGCACATGTGGGGCGATTTGTATGCTTTTTAAAATTTGTTTTATTTCTAATTCTGATTTATGACAAGGAAAGAAAGGCATTTCCCAACTAATGTCAAATTGGTAATGAAAATTCAAAGAGCTTGATAAACTGACACATTTGCTTTTTTTGTCCATAATGTGTCTTGATTCAAGCCAGCAGTAATTAAAGACAAATAATTCGTATTTCGTTTGTGGTGTACTTTTTGATAATGTGTACAGTGGGCTGTACTGGTTATATGCTATAGAAAAATTAGGTGTATTTTTACTTGGGACTAGGGTAAACAATTCAAATTATCCTCAATTTAGCCAACTTTCAGAAAGCTAGAAATGTTTATTGTATTTGGTAGTAAATCTGATAAACAGAACTGTGTGATCAGCATCTTTCTCAGATGTTTGCATTCCATGTGTTGGACATGAGCTCATCAGGTAGTGTTAAAAGTAGATTTAACACTCAAGTCAGTCAAAGATTTCCTTATTTTTTCTGATTTTAGCAATTTCTGCCTGGCCACTAACTTCCTATCAATAGTGTGACTACGGTTGCTGCATTATCGTATCCATGTTTGTTCTTCTTCTTTGGAGGAAACCTGTCCAATGCAACTAAGAAGTCAAGAAATCCATACTTGCATGTCTCTTGAGCTGCTGGGGTTGGTTTTTTTTTTTTTTTTTATCCACCTATCTTTAGGCTGCAAAAACAATTGGCAGACATACCTGAGTTAAATTTTGGTTTGACATATTGATAACTTCACTCCCTAAGATGGATTTAAGGGGAGAATATCTCTATATGTGAAATCACAGAGATGATGCCCCAGAAAACAGACTTTCTTTGGAGTTTGCAAATATAGTGTCAACATCAGTCAAAGAAGTGTTGGCAAGGGGAACTGCTATCAAAGACTTTTATGTACACAGAGGTAAGAACTAGCTACCTGTAAAGACATTTGCTTTTTACAGCTGAGAGAGGGAATTTAAAAAATATGTAGTTCTTCATATTTAACTATTCTATAGCACTGAACTACAGAGACATCACACTTAAGAGACTATTTACCAAACTACTCTGGCATATTGAATAATTGCTGAGTGAACTGTACCATTCCATAGCTGGCAGTGTTGGTCAGAGGGTCCCAGCCAGAGCAGGTGGCCCTGGAGGAAGCAGCGGAGCTCCTGTGCCTGGGGTCCCACACAGAGAGGTGGGGCCCTGACTGCAGGAGGAGTTGTGTGCTGCCACAGCTGCTACACATCATATGCATCTGGCTAAGCCTCAGCAGTGTCTTCTTTAATGCTGCTAAAAATCAGAAGGATTTTCCTGTATAAACCCATTGCAAATCCTTATGAGTAAATAACAAAAATTACCTCTTTAAAATCTTGCAAGCAAAACTGATATAGTTTAATTCTATTTTGAAAAATTATTCTAAGTACTTTGGGTTTTGACCATGGCTTTACTGTTAGTATGCTAAGATAATCACTTCTGAACTGTTAAGAAAAAAGGCAGAACCAAATTCTTTGCCCTAAAGGAGATAGCTGTCTTTTGGATACACAAACAGGATGGTACAGCCACGAATAACAAACAGCTTTATAAGGCTGTCTCATATCTATACAGTTATAAAAAATGAAACAACTTCTCAATAAATTAATTCTGTGGATTATTGACTTCATATTGCCTTTGAGAGGCTTTATAGCAAACATATATTTCTCAATCAAGCACTGGACTAAAGAACAACAGTAAAAAGTTTCATTGGGTTGGTTAACACTCCTGTGAACATTCTCAGAAATGTAAAAAGGCTATATCTTGAAGCACTTTTTATTCCATTAAATATTACAGGGCCAGATTTTCAACAGCTGAGGTGTTGGAAATTTTTTTTTATTAAGTGATACATTATTGGCATTAGGACCAGTTTTCTGTAGAGATGCCTAAGAGATGTAGATATGTGCTAAATGTACCTAGATACTTAGGTAAAATAATTGCTCCCAGTTATTTATGTAGAATTTGATGCTTAGGTACTTTTGACAGCCCTGCTGAATGCCTACCAGCATTGTTAGACACTTCAATGTCTTCTAAACCTGACTTGCTCTTAGGCTGTGAGGTGTCTTTTTAATTTCAGCTACATGATTCATTTGTTCTTTTGGGCAGAAACTTAAGTGCTAAGCTGGAAAAGGTATCTGTGTTTTTCATTTCAATCCTGTCATCATTCTCGTTAAGTATTTGCCTCTGTACTGTGGGTTGAGTGGTAAAACCTTTACATTTTACTCTTTGCAGAGTAACATCTAGCTGTGACTATTAGCAAATGGAATTTGCAGTATGCTAAATAATGAACTAGTGGATTTCAAAGGTGTAACTAAGACCTGTCTTAGCTACATGACTTTTACATGCAAGTAATGTGAATACAAGGTTCCTATTAGCAGCAAAATTAGCTTCTTTTATAGTAGCAGAAATGAGAGAAAAACTGGCTAACCTGGCTTGGTACAAATTTGCAGGTTATTCCAGCCCAAGTGCTTCAGAAGTGGAGCACAGTACCTGGCAGAAATAGAAGAGCTAGAGGTGTGAGAATGATTCCTAAATAAGTGAAAAGTACCAGAACAGCTGATGAAAATCATTAAATAAAAACCCTCCTGAATGTGAGAATTTTCCAAATGCACTTCATTTATTCAGCTAATTTAAAATGTTTCTGAACTGACACGAATTCTCTAAATATTTTATAAGAAGAAAGCTACAGGCTTTATTTGGGCCACTGTATAATGACTGAAAAACCTACTTATGAGGAATTAGGAAATATGAATTCTTGTTATCCATCATATTAATTCATGAAACATAATTTCTGCAACAGATGGTTTGCTTTTACTTCTCTGAATCTAAGATATTCAAGCAATGAAGCCCTGAGTACAAAATGTTAATAGTTACCAAGGAAATCCATCATCTCTTCCTAGGATTCAAAATGCACATACCTCAGAATGATCCATTCCTGTTAGCATCATTCTAATTTCATTATAATCTGTAAAATCTTTTCTATCTTCTGCATGATCTGTCCCCTGTACCTCTGAAGGACTGATCTTTTATCTTCCCTACATTTAAAGGGAACTTTATCTAAATTTTTTTCAAGGAGGTTCAAATTCTGTAACACCTAGGAGGGACATATTTAAGACTGTAATTGAGATCTACAGTGTGATCAAAAGTGCATCTTTTAGTCTACATGCAATTGTATCACAATAATTTATTTTTAGAATTTGATTCATTTACAGAATTTTTTAAAAACTGAAAAATGAAAGGAAGGCATTATTAAATGTCATCACTGCTGATATCTTTCATTGTGTCCTTGGCTCACTTACTCTCTTTGTAGACAAAAACACCTTTTCAGTAAAACAGGAGGTTTTGCTATGGAGGAATGGCTGGGCCTGACCTTACTTATGTTTTTAAGTTTCTCCTTTCAACTCTCTGCCAGGAAAAAAGGCACTCACTTGGGCAAAGTTCATTCACACCAGCTTTACAACAAAGTGCAAACCTGAGACAGAGGACAGGCAGAAAAATCTCTTCCCATGAAGTCAATAGGAATCCATCTCCCTAAGATCTTTTTTATTCTTGGCACCAGTGATTTTTCTCAACTGATTTATTGGAGGGCACTGGTTTAACTAATTTGTCTTGCATAGGTATCTTTCCCATTCTGTCCTCTCCACTAGTATAAAACAATCTTCCCTTTAAAGGTTATTTCCTAGCCAGATCTCTCCTAAAGCTATTATCATTCATTTGCGCTTTAGGAGTTCCTTTCACTTTTAAAAAACTATGAGATACATTCCTGATTTATGGGTTACAGTGTGACAGCCATCATATGCAAAGAAGATTGTTTATACTTACCACAGACATCCTTGAATAAGAGGGAAATTTCAATCATATCTCCAGTCCATGTGCTTTACATAACTGTATTCAATATCATAGAAGAACATGGCAATCTGTATTTTCCATTGTTCTCTAGGATGTCTAATAGAATTTTATCCTTGTTCTGCAAAATTCAGTATTCAAATACCAAAATACAGAAGGTTTATAATACTCCACAAAATTCTATAGGTTTTAGGAGTAATTTCCATGGAAACACACTTTTAATCCTTATACATAATTTCCCTGCAACTGATAATTAAAAAATTATCCTCAGATTACTGTGAACCTCATTAAACATATTTCATAATCATGTGTTTCATGAAAAATTGAAGAAAAGCAAAATATTTTCAATGTTTTTTAGAAAAAACAGTAAGTATGAAGATTAGAGTGTACCTACCTAAACTAAACAGCACCAGGAATTTGAGACAGACAAATTCTCGTAGGTCAAACTGCAGAGAACGAAGCTTTGCTACCAGTTCTTGTGCATGGCTCATAAGATTGTTGAGGGTGGCTCCAGCTTGGGATGCTATTACGGAATAATCCACCTGTAAAAGAGAATTATATTCCTATCTGGTTGTCCTGCCCACACTTTAGGATGTTTCAAGCAATAATATGCAATCAGGATACTCCTGGACATAGAAATCACTCTTAATTTAATGATGTTACCAAATCAAGATGATTTTATATATAAACCAATTTTAACCCAATGGTATATATTGAAAATAACATTAAACCATATATCTTAATGATATGTGACATCACTGTGAGTACTGGTTTGCCTGTATTAGCTTTTTTAGAAGCTTTAAATACCTGCCTATGACACAGGTAGCTGTCCACATCTCAGTTTTGTTCCTTTGGTGTCTCCTGTTCTCATTGTAATAGTATGATCCTGCAGAGAACAACTGATGGAGTGAGCTTTGTGCCTACCCTGGCTGCATTGCTCCAGAGGGACACAATGATATTCATGGGAAACAGTCCTGTGTCCAAACTTGGCCAGAAACATCTATTCAAGCCCAGAAATGTCGGTGTATTCCCACAGGAAACAGAGGTATTGTGTGGGTGGTTGCTGTTCTCCCCAGCTACACGAAATCCCTGTATTTGTTGGAATTGACTGGAACTCACTTGTTCTGGCGAGTGCTGCCCTGCAGGGGAAGGAGGGGTGGCAGGTGTGTGACAGCCCAGCTGCCCTCACACTGTCCCCAGCAGTGACCTCAGTGCACAGAGCTCCTTCCCCTGGGCTGGGGACACAAGTGGTGCTGGCCTCTGCTGCCCTGGTCATGCTGTCCCTTGTTCTCAGGGCAGGCTCACCTGCCTGGGAGCTTTCATTGTATGCAGAGATCCAACGGAGGTCTGGAGTTAATACATTTATTCAAAAAGGGAAAATTCACAAGCACAGGATGCTTAAGGTCTGCCATCGCTGACTCAGCCTTGGGTGATCCTCGAACCTTGGGCAACCTCCCCAAGCCCAGCATGCTGAAACTGTTCTGGCTGATGCCAGTCCCATTGTGGGGATGTTTCCCTGCAGAGACTGCCCCACCCCTGCCACTCTGGAGGTGTGCCTGCTTGTCACAGGATGGTGACCAGTGGGGAAGGGCACAGCCTGTGGGAATGGTGTGATGGGAAGGAGAACAGAGGGGCTGGGGTGGGCTGGCTCCAGGACAGGGCAACGGTTGGTGTGGAGCAGGGTGTAACTGCTGTATCAGAACTGGGGTGACCTGAGCAGCAGCTTCAGCTTCAGAGCTCAGCCCACTTCTCATCAGAGTGCTCCACGTCCCCTGCAAGTGCCACTGTCCCATGGACATGGCCTGCTGTGCTGCTGCTCCCCACAGAACCACTCCTGGCCAGCTGGCTGAGACCTAAATGGGTCAGTGGTACAATTTCAAAATGCTCTAGTTACCTTCACCTTTCTCTTGTAGGAGCCTCCAGAACAACAGGGAAATTGCTAATCATACTTCATCTAAGTGAAGTCTGGCTGTGAATTACAACTAAGCACAATGGTAAGTGCTTGCTTTGGGTCAGTCATTTGTTTAATGGAATCAGTGCTCTCAACCCATCTCTAAGGTTTCCCATAATAAAGTAGTTAATAAAGAATGGAGCAGTATCACCACAAGAAACAAACCAATACTGCAAAATTTTGTTTTTCCAGGCTCTGATCCCTTAAAATCTGTTTTTTTAAAAAAAACATGTTAAGCAACATGTATTTTGATTTTTTTTATTTTTTAAAAAATTATTTTATTTTAAAACTGCTGAATTGATTTTGCTCAAGCATAAACAGCAGTAAAACTTGGAATACTCCTAGTCTGACAAAATTGCAGCATGGAACGATAGAAAGAAGACTGAAAGAAACTAAAATTAACTTTTCCTGGTAATGGCCTTAATATAATCAATAAGTTATTGACTTTTAATAAGAGATTTCATTTATATACTCTTATTGCACTCTATAAACTGATTGGAGGTAACTGCACAAGAAAATGAGGTTACACTTCTTGAATGGAAGTTAAGAATTCACTTCTTGAATGGAGGTTAAGAATAACAATACTTTGCAGTGTTGGAGCAGTTTGAGTTGAGTTCATGCTTCAATTAAATCAGTGGATTAGGCTGAAGAATCATGTGAGATAGGTTATTGCTCTCTTTTACACCTGGGGAAACTTGAAGTAGTGACAATAAATTGTTTACTCAGGGCCAAAGAAATCTGTGGCTGCACTACGATCTGATCTTTGGAAACCCTAGCCTATCCATCTTTCAAAAACTGCTTGCTAATTCATCTCTTATTTATCACTCTTTCTATAGATGCATTTATTCGTACTTCTTTATGTATATATACCTATATAAATAATAAGAAAATATTAAGTAAAATACCTCAAATAATTTTCACTTAAAAATCAGTTTAATGTAGTGACTTGGTTCAAGTACATTGTATTGAGACACTGGTCACTTATAAATATGAAATTTCATAACTTAATATCTCTTTTGTAATTGTTAAGAGTGGGGGAAAAAAGCTTCAAATCCCTTACTGAGTTTCCAATTTGTGGGGAAAATATGCTGCTCACTTCATAAGAAGAAGTTAAGATGTCTGAATGTCAAGAATATCAGTGGCCTTAGTGCAGCGATTATGCCATAATGGAAAAACCCAGTAGATGCCTGGATCTCCCAGCATCCCTCTACTGGAGAGCTCTCAGGCAGCCTGCTCCTCTTTCAGGTGCATTTAATATTTGCAGCACCAGCAAATTTGTCTGGGAGGCAAGTCCTCATCTGCCACTCACCAGGAACAGGCTGTATTAAATTTTTATATTTATTGACATTTCATTACCATAATTGACTGCAGTTGGTTCTCTAGTAGAAGGCACAGGGCTGCCTCCTAAGCAGGAGAATTGGTCCCTTGAGTAGGATTTGCAATTAAAAACAACGCAGAATGGATTTTTTTTTTAATTGTGTAAATATGATGAGTTGAATTTTCAGCTTTAACTAGAGAATAGTAGGTGTGCAGAAGGCTTTTTTCAAGAGTGAGCAAAATTATGAGTCAGTGGAAAGACGACCCCCAAAGGTGTCAATCAGTTTATACAAAAGCAACTGTGCATGAAAAAGCCTCAGTTAATGTCTATTCTGAAAAAGTGGTCACATTAAAGACTATGCTGTTCTGCTTGCTTGGTCCGTTATGCAGAAATTGATACTAAAATGTGTATTAATTCTTTTACCTTCCAACGTGATTAAAAGCATTTTTAAAAGACAAAGATTAAACCGGCTTGGATTTTGTGCAAAATGCTTAATTGCATAATGAAGTCAGAGCATTTACTTTGTATTGTGCATTTTACTTCATATTGTGCATTGATTTCATTTAGTAAAATCAAATCCATTACTAAAATATTCTTGCATCCCAATCAATACTACTACTTTTCACATTGCTTTTGATGTTGAGGATGTTATTTGGCATTTTTGAAAACAGCAGCTTTGTCAGAGCTTCCACATAGCCTAATTTGGAAGTACAACAATGAGCTGAAGTTATGGCTGCACAAACAGAAGTGTGCATTCCTCCTGTACCCTGGGCTAAAAAAATGCTGTGGCTGAAGGCCAAAAATAAAGGGAACACCTGTTTTTTTGTTTTTTTGTTTTTTTGTTTTTTTTTTGTTTGTTTTGCAAGTGGTGTTTCATGGTAATTCAAAAGATTTTTGAAGAAAAATTCCTGGGCTCAGATAGTAATTTTTCTGGTGGAATCAGGTGGTGGCTTCTGGTATCACCTTCTCTATGCCCACAAAACAGTCCAACACTTAATGGTGGAATTAAGTTCACTTTTTCTTCTAAAATTAAGGAGTGTTTGATTATTCTAGAGTATGAATGTGGTATCATGGGTAAATATTGTGTGGAACTGCACCATCCCTTTCAATGCTTCAGCAAGCTTGAAATTGTCTCCAGAATATGATTAGAGTGATTTTACTTGTTGATGGTGTTGCCAGGTGCTGACTGTCCCTGAATGCCATTCCTTTCATCCAGACAGGAATTGCACAAGTAATGAATAAAGCCCCTGCTGTAGCTCTGTTCAGTATAGTCTAGTAGACTAAGGCAGTCCAAATTAATAAAAGATTGATTTCATATTGGATTTAGTAAATTACACTACTGTGAGCTAGGGGTCTGAAGGCAGAGGCAGTGAGTGCCTGCGTGCAGCAAAGGGAGCATCCTGCTCCTCCTGCTCTGTGGGATGCAACCCTGGCCAGCACCTCTGGCTGCTGGGGGGCTGCTCCCCAGCACCCCCTCCTTGGCTTCAAACAGCACTGAAAGCCCGGCTGGCCATCACTGACCTGCCCTGGGTCTCTGAGCCCTGACCCTGCTCGAGTGGATACTCAGTGGGTGGAGGAGCCTCATCTCAAAAGCATGCATTCAGTATAGAGAAAACAAGCTCGTTTACTATTGCAACCTTTCCACTGTTTCCTGAGATACAGCTTTCACTGGAAACTGCAGTGGTTATTAAACTCATTTTGAGCTTTTAATATAATTCTTTAATTAAAAACAGTGCTTCTGTTACATTTCTAAGCAAATAAACATGGAAAACACTTTGAAGAGGTGCCTACATACAAAATTTGAGGAGGTTTCAGAATGGAAAAACCCCACAGATATCCTTGTATCTGCTGGTTATCAGGTTTGGATATATTAATTAAAATTTTGTTGACTTATGCAGCATAAGATGCTTGTCATTTTAATGTGAGACACAATAATAGAAGATAATGAATTAAGTTGCCAGTGGCCCTTTCCCCTAGGATGATGTGGTGCTTGATAATTAACTATAATATGCAAATAGTAACACTCCAAAGTACTGCAGAGTACAATAGAATCCATTTCTTTACGAAGTGCTATAATGTACTTCTGTTGTTTTTGTAATATTGAGATGAGATTATACAAAATCACTGCTGTGTTTGATATTCAGTAAAGCTGATCAGAAGACAGTGGAAGACAGTCACTGGAAAAAATGTTGTGAATGTCTGGGTAACATCTCACAAGGCTGCGTTAACTCAAACTGCTTCTTCGGGAGGTATGAACCATGTAAGTTCATTCCACCTTAAGACCATCTTATTTTAGCCAAATTTCTGCTCTACAGTTTAAATCCTTTCCCACAATGGGAAGTCAAGACTGGCTGTACTCACCTTGAATCGCTTCACTATCACTACTCCAACAGGCAGTTGGGACAGACTCGCATGGTGCTTTCTTCAAACTGAGTTTCGGAACAACTTTGTTTTTCCTGCTGGGCAAGCTTAAAATCAGCTAAGGGATTTTTCCTGAGTTTGTGTTGACAGACTAGTTCGCTAGCATGGGACTGGTTTGGAGAAATACTGCCAGACTCCAGGTAAATAATTTTTGTTTTCTTTCTTACACAAAGGAGCCATGTGTAAGAGCTACAAAAGAAATGTGTTTCCCATGAAGACAACACAGTCAGCATGTGAAAAATGAAAGTTCTGGTGTTCAAGGATTCATGTCAGGTGCTCTCTCCATGAAACTTTACTGGTACAGGGATTTTAGACTTAAAAATGTAGTGCTATGATGGTTTCATAGCAACACAGCAAAGCACATGTGAATTAGGATCAGGTTGTTCATAGGTATGTCCATAGCTACATGAAGGCTCAAAATATGTAACAAATATTTTGAAAAACCTGAATTCAGGGCACTTCATGGTTATAACTGTATTTTGATGTGTTTTACCCAGTTTAACTGAGCATATTTAGTTCATCCCCAAGGAGCAGCCAGCATAATATTTTCATATCTTCATAAGGCCTTTTAAGAACTACCACAACCTTACTTTCCTTTAGGCAGAAACCACTAAAGTAAGGAACTGTGCAAAAAAACTAATACGATACAGAATAGTGAAATAATGATTGCTTGACTTCATTTGTATCCTCCTTGAATCAAATCCTGTGATTATTTGCTGATGTAAGGATTTCCAGATTTGGCCCTCAAATGCCAATACTTCTTTTGTGCCCACCACAACTGTGAAGCCTCACTGACTATAACACAAATTGAATGCGAAAAAGATACTTGCTAATTTCCAAAAACATAAGAAGTAAAAGGTTTCCACTAGATATCCCTGAGCTTTCTATACCTATGACTTGTGGATGTCCTTTACAGCCACTCCTCTTAACATTCTTGTGCTTTTGTATTTCAGTGATACTTCTGCAAGGGTGGTCTTTCTCAACAACACCATCAAGATCTCATGCTCTTTCTCTGGTGCTTTGCTTTAGAACAGAAATCCAGGTATAAAGATGCATTTGTGTGGTGACTTCAACTAAATCAGTAGTTTCAACAATCTCAAAAAAATCTGAGATTTAGGCATATTTTTGGATGGCCTTTTTAATTGGAAAGGCTTTGCAGAGGGAATATTTGGCAGTAGAGTGAAGGTATGAATAAAAGGAGCAGATGAAGCTACAATTCACATGTTGTGCATTAACTGTTGCAGGAAAATGCACAAGTAACAATATTCTGTGCAGAGCTTTAGCATCTACCTTATGTGTGCTGGGTCTTGGAAGCTGGCAGTGTATTGGTCTTGTAGAAGATACAAGAGGAAAGTGCTGAGGTTGGAGGAATTACAATTCTATAATTAGAAATGGTCTGTTAAAATTACATGGCACATGGCAAGTCTACAAAACTCAGCATGTGGAGAGCATATTGGCAATGATTTACAATTAACCACCACACTGCAAATCACTCCTTAGCTGTTTTCTATTATGAAATTTTGAGAGTTGTAAAATGCATTTGTGCTACTTTATTTCCTTTTGAAATGGTAATTGCTACTGCTGAGGGGCAGTACTTAGTGCAGAAAATGAAGTGTGCAGCACAGGGAGGAACTTGTTTCTGAGGAACTGCTGAGGAATTGTAATGATCTGAAAAAAGTGCTTTCTTGAAACACATACACACAAAAGAGTTTCATTTATGAAACCCCAAACAAATAACAAAATAAAATAAAACACAGTCTCTTTTTATACAAGGGCCAGAGCTTACTAGTTTGTTGCTGACTGCACTTTTTCCCCATCAAAGTGGGAACAGTGGATTGACACTGAGTTAAACCCATAAGTCAGTGGCTTGAGGGAAATGCAGATATATGGAAATGTGATAGGAGTGCCCTAAAGTAATGGGTTTTGAGCCAGTGTGTTTGAAAATTATCAAGTGTTCTTCTAACTACTATCCCCTTTTAGATACCTAGTGCAGCACTGGCAGTGGTACCGCCCTGGGGACCTGGATAAAGTTTGGCTTTTGTGTCTGAGGAGCAGAGGCTGTGCACTGTAAGTGGAGAGAGCAGGTATGTTCTAATTAAGGGATGGTAAGTTCCCCCCTTACAGCTTCCACCTTGATGGTGATTTGTAAAAGGGGCAGTGTTTATGAGTAGCTTTTATGGAGGGATATATTAAGGAAAGCGAGGAGTGAGGCTTCTCAGGTCTTAAATTTGCTAACTTGTGACAATAAGCTTGATCTCTCAGGTAATAAAGTTGGCAATCTAGCTCAGGTCCTCAGTTTAAAGTTATTATCTTTGAAAGCCAGATGATTGACTGTAATTTTGCTCATAGTGCTTTGTTGGTAGCAGAAATAAAAACATCTACAGCACTTTTCATCAGAAGAGTCAGAGTGCTTTCCACACCTTAATCAACTAATTTTTATGAAATGGTGGCATGGTTTTTCCCTGTCTCTTCTGTGGGAACTGAAAAGATCAGGACAGGAATCAGAAAGCATGCAGGAATGGTGCACGAGCAAAGACTCATAATGCCCAGGTCTAGAAGTGTGGCTTCCCAGAATTATTTTACAGTTTTTACAGAGGATACAGACACAGTTTAATTGTCCTTTCATAAGTACATTTGAACAGATGCTGTGTCTAGGAGTGCAACAGTCTGAGTCAATGCTTCCAAGAGGGTTTACCTTGACAGGTAGGAAAAGAGACAGCTGTATTGGATCAACTTGTCTAAAAAAGTAACTCACTACTGAACAGGGATGTGCAAAAGCAGTGCACAGCAGCTGAAGCCAGGAGTGGCTCAGGATGGGTGATGCAGAAACATCATCCATGTCCATGTCCACTGCCATGGAGTGATAATGTTAAAAAATGGTTCAGCTGTATTGAAACGTGCAAGGGATGTTGAATTGCTAGTCTGGGACAAACCAGGAAGATGTGGGACTGCAGCTGGATTCAGATGGTGATTTTGTGGCAGCAAGCACAGACCAGGCTGAGGTTCTCAGTGCTACCTTTGCCTCAGTCTGTCCTTACAAGATGTCCTGGGCTCTGTGCATTGCATCAGGGCTCAAGGAAGAGGAGAGTTATGAGCACTAAGTGTAAGTTGGAAAAAAAAAAAAAAGACTTCATAGGACAACCAAGGAAAAACTTTCTCCCTATGGAGATTGTCAGGCAGTGGTACTGGCTGCACATGAAGTTTTGCAGTTTTCATTCTTGAATGTATTCAAAGCCCAACTGGACAAAGCTCTGAGAAATCTGGTTTGAGCAGGGGTTTGGACTGGTCCTTAAAATTCCTTCCAGTCTGGATTATCCTGTGATTTTAAGATTTGTAGCTCTGACAATTCTAGATATTTTAAAACTTCTGCTTAGCTCACTCAGCCTTGTCCATCTAAACAAAAGTGTTTCTTCCAAGAATTATTTTTACCCATGGAAATAATTTGAAAAGATGCTGGTTTAAAGTAAATGCTTTTGATGCAGAACTTGCCTACGAGCCATGTAGTGGCACAGCACTGGCACTGTTGCAGCACCTCGACCAGCCTTAGTGTGAAACGTGTGCCGTGCACAGCCAGGCGGGGCAGGCACCTGCTCCTGGGAGCAATCTGGCTTTTCACTGAGGAGCCACTGGGGCCAGAGCTGAGTGAAACTGGGACAAAGCAGAGGCATTAGTGGAGATTTCAGAAACAGCTGCCAGAGACGCTGTAGTTCAGGTCTAGTGTCTCCCTGTTTCTCAAAGAGAATCTGTGACACATCCATGGGAGTATGTTTTGCAGCTATTAGGAACTGTGAAATGGGAAAAAGGACTGGCTGTAGAGTTCTTGTTGCTGTTGTAGTGATATCACTCCTGCTCTTAAACTAAGTGCAAAGAGGAAAATAAAGAAGGTGATGGGAGACTCTGGGGGTGCTTGAACTGACTTGAAAATGACAAATTTTGACGTAGGAAAGGGAAATTGGATTTAAAGAAGGTTGTATTAAAAACTAGTTTACAAACATGGGCAAAAATGAATGCAGTCATTCCAACATAGCCAGGTTTTAACTTAGTTGGAGACTGCCTGCAAATGCACAGCTTCCCAGTCCAGCTGCTGATTTGCAAGCAGTACATTTAATAAGCATCCTGCTACCTGTTGTCCAGCAGTGAAGAAAAGCTCTGCTTTGCCTTGAGATCATGTACAGCTGGGGTTTTTATTTTCAAGAAAAGATAAAAGTGGCTAATGAGGTAAAAATTACTACTGTGGGAAATGGGGACAATGGCTAGAATTTAAGGGTAGTTAGAGGCCTCTAATGATTTCAGTGGGACTTAGGTACTCAGTACCTTTAAAACAGTGCTAATCACATAACAAAGGAGACACTAATTTAGCAGTTCTCTCAGGAACAGAAACCTGTCAATGTACTTACAGCTTGATAAACAAGCATCCTGTGTGGTAAATGAAATAATTTCCAGTAAAATTGTCTGTCTTGCAGAGCATGAAATGGAAAGGGAATCAGTCATTTTCTCAATTGCACCAATATAAATCAAGAGCAATGCAACTGAACTAACTTTTGCTAATGCAATTAGGGAGTACAATGATATCTGAGATAGGTTAGTGACTTTCCATGAAGTGCAGGAGTCAATTCTACAGATAGAGTTTGAGTTTTCCCAATTCCTTTCTTGATAAAGTCGATAATTTCTCCTTTCTACTGTAGACCTCTTAATCATAAATGCAAACAGAAGAATCAGAATCCTTCTGATTCTTACAAACATTTATTCTAAGTGTTAAGAAATGGCTGCATCTTTAAAATTACAGCTAAAGCTGTAAGCAGATTCCACAACTTGCAGACACAAATGGTGTAGCACAGGAAAAGGAGCTCTTTCCCATGTGTGTCTAAATTGAGGCAGTTCAGTTCAGTTTGCAGCTACTTAAATACCAAAGAGCCATCATTTGTTTTCACTTCAAGACAGAAACATAATGTACAGGCACACCTTGCTTTTCTTTGATACACTCTCTTTTTTTTTTTTTTCATGCTGTTAAAAGCAGAATAACAATCTTAGGAATAAGGTTCTTGTTTTACTGTCAAGATTGTTGTGCTTTGGAAAGCATAGTGGAGACAAAACTTTCTATTTCTTTTGTGTTTTCTCACAGTTTTCCTAATATTTACTACATTATAGCTCTTGCATTTTGGGAGATCCTTGTATCTGACACATGAAGAAAATTACCCCTGGAGAGCCAGGCAGAAACTGCAGGGTGCATACCCTGAGACAGTTTCTGAGACACTATCTGCTTTTATAGCCTATGGACAGAATAATTTTCCTGTGATTAGATGTCTCAGCTGCCCAGTTTCTCACACATGTGCATATGTCTCTAAAAGCAAGGCATTTCTGAGGTAGTAAGCAGCAGGTTCTCTAGATTTCTGATCCAGCCGCTGCTTCTTTTCAGTAAATCACAATTCTGAAGGGAAGAAAACTATACATGCTTAAACCTAAACATTAGGTTTGGGAGTGTTGTTGTTAGAAACCATTAAGCCCCAAGGAAATACTACTTCTTGACAAACAGTTCTCATCTGCTGCTTTTCAATTACTGAAGTATTTGAAAAGCAAAGTGCTTATGATTATATCTGCTTTTTTCTAGTCTGTAATCAGCAGACTAGAAACAGAGTGCACAAGTGATTTTACCTACACTACTTGTGAAGGATCTCTGAGAACACAGTGGTGCTTCTGACCTAGTTAAACTCCTGGTAATTTTCAAAATTTTCAAAAAGAGATGACTCTTTCTCTCAGACCACATACTCACTTGTTGCCCAGTAACCAGAAGGATGGAGCCTTCTTTCCCATGTACCACTTGCCGGTAAATGTGATCCAGAATTAAGAGTTCGCTCCAGCAGTTCTGAAGCAACTTCATTTGGTCATCAACCTGTAAAGGAAACACAAACATTGGTGACATCACTCTGGGAGTAAGTCTGGCATCACACTTGGGAGGCAGCCCTCCTTCCCACAGCTGGCTGACAGGAGAACAGAGGTGCTGTGTAGAAATATTCATGCCCAAATTTGCTGTTTGCAGTTGAA